TGCAGGAATTTATAATTCAGCTACAATCAAAGAGCATTCTGAACCTCCACCAACAATAGAATTGAACCAAACTTGGGACACAGAACTCCTATGACCAACAGAAAATACTGGAAGGATTGGCATTGACCTTGAGTTTGGGAGTTGTAGTTCACCTATATCCAGTCAGCACTGTGGACTCAAACAATGATGGATCTGGACCAAACTCTACATGAATACTCAATATGCCCAAATGTGGAGTTTGGGGAAAATAGAATCTTGACATTTGGGAGTTGTAGTTGCTGGGATTTATAGTTCACCTACAATCACTGAGCATTCTGAACTCGGTGATAGAATTGGGCCAATGATAGAACAGAACCCCCATGTGGGCCACAGCAACACGTGGCAGGGGACGGCTAGTAGATATAGATAGATATACAGTGTTCCCTTGTTACTTCGTGGTTCGCTTTTAGAGGACTCGCTGTTTCTCAGGTTTTTGAAAATATTCAAACAATGATGGATCCGGACCAAACTTGGCATGAATACTCAATATGCCCAAATGTGAACATTGGAGGAGTTTGGGGAAAATAGACCTTGACATTTGGGAGTTGTAGTTTCTGGAATTTATAATTCACCTACAATCAAAGAGCATTCTGTACCCAGCTCACAATGGAACTTCACCAAACTTGGCACACTACCTACATGGCCAACATTGAATGCTGATGGGATTTGGGAGTATTGTTTTGTCATTTGGGAGTTGTAGTTGTTGGAATTTATAGTTCAGCTACAATCAAAGAGCATTCTGAACTCTACCAATGATGGAATTGAACCAAACTTGGTACACAGAACTCCCAAGACCAACAGAAAATACTGGAAGGATGTGGTGGGCATCTTTGATTTTGGAGTTGTAGTTCACCTACATCCAGAGATCACTGTGGACTCAAACAATGATGGATCTGGACCAAACTCTACACGAATACTCAATATGCCCAAATGCGAACACTGGTAGAGTTTGGGGAAAATAGAATCTTGACATTTGGGAGTTGTAGTTGCTGGGATTTATAGTTCACCTACAATCACCGAGCGTTCTGAACTCCACCAATGATAGAATTGGGCCAATGATAGAACAGAACCACCATGTGGGCCACAGCAACACATGGCAGGGGACGGCTAGTAGATATAGATAGATATACAGTGTTCCCTTGTTACTCCGCGGTTCACTTTTAGTGGACTCACTGTTTTGCGGGTTTTTGAAAATATTCAAACAATGATGGATCCGGACCAAACTTGGCATGAATACTCAATATGCCCAAATGTGAACACTGGAGGAGTTTGGGGAAAATAGACCTTGACATTTGGGAGTTTTAGTTTCTGGAATTTATAATTCACCTACAATCAAAGAGCATTCTGTACCCAGCTCACAATGGAACTTCACCAAACTTGGCACACTACCTACATGGCCAACATTGAATGCTGATGGGATTTGGGAGTATTGTTTTGTCATTTGGGAGTTGTAGTTGTTGGAATTTATAGTTCAGCTACAATCAAAGAGCATTCTGAACTCTACCAATGATGGAATTGAACCAAACTTGGTACACAGAACTCCCAAGACCAACAGAAAATACTGGAAGGATGTGGTGGGCAATGACCTTGAGTTTTGGAGTTGTAGTTCACCTACATCCAGAGACTACATACATCCACCTACATACTGTGGACTCAAACAATGATGGATCTGGACCAAACTTGGCACAAATACTGAATATACCCAAATGTGAACACTGGTGGAGTTTGGGGAACATAGACTTTGACATTTAGGAGTTGTAGTTGCATTCTGAACCCCACCAACAATATAATTACACCTGAAAATCTTGTGTTTTTTGCCATTTGTAGCAATTGCTTCTGCGTTAACAGGGAACGACGTTTGGCCACCCTCCTGTTTACTGCGGGATCTCATGGGATAAAGGTAATGTCTGGACGGGCCCTAGATCTCAAGCAGAGCTATCAGCACCCTAGTCATCAAAGCAACCACAAAGTCTTAAAAACAAACACACCGCCTTACAAACAAGCACCCAGCCTTTATACAAACAGGAAACAAAACTCAGCTCTTTAAGCGCACTCCAAAAGTTAAGGTTTCCCCAAGCACAGTCATCTCCTGCTTCCTCTTTAGCCTCTGGGTCTATGTAAATATAAATTAAATTAAGTATACCGATTGGCATCAATATTGGATTCCTAGCTTTGGGACACAACCGAAACGTAAACGAGGATGTATTCTGTATTACCAAAAGAGTGCATGTATGTGTGACAAGAGTGTGTAAACAACACAAAGTCTGGGGAAATCAACCATCCCCTGTTTGTTTGTTTGCTCTTAGAAACCACAAGCACTGCTTTGATCTAAGTAAGGAAATGTGTGGGGCAGCGAAAGGAAAGAATTGGTCAATAGGACGGACTAATGGCTGGAGGTGACTCTAAATGGGGGGAATGATGCAGAGACACAGGACATGAGACAATATTTATGGAATCCCTGAAGAGGACTCTATGAGGTTCTGATCCCATTAACCAGGATCGCTGAACTGCAAAACACAACCTCTCCGAAAGACTGTTGACCACGGGAACAGCTCCCAAGGAAAGTATGTTTTCCTTTGAGGAGAGTGGGGCGAAACACAAATAAGCAACCCGAGAGTCATTTGGGAACGATGGGCAGGCGGGAAGGAACTGGAGGCCCCAACAAAAACACACCTCTGAAGTCTCTGTTTGTGTGACATTTGCCCACTCCGTCACCACTGTTTTGGAAAATGAAGGACCTGCTGGGAAACGTGAAGAGCCTTGCCTTGGCTTCCCTTTCGAGTGCGCTTGGCACAAGGTGTTATGTGTTTCTGTGTAGGCATCTATAGATGGATCCCAGGCTGGTAAAGAAAGTAGTTGTCTAGTTTCTGTGCCCTGTTGTTGGAGCATACAAGGAATCAGTGTGTGTGTGTGTATGTGTGTACCATAAAATAAGACGCATGAAGCTGATTGGTTGGGAGATGGCTGAGCCTGGGACTTTTGGTTACTATTACATTTTTGTTCAGGCTTGAGCTATGCAAATGCAGAGTGAGAAGATGAGTGAAGAAGAGAGAGACAGAGTTTTGGAGTATGCTCTTTCTTCACAAGCTGATGAAGGAATTTATCGACATGGACAAAGAAAGACCATTTTAAATCTCTCATACAAGGACATTATGTGAGTTGAGGTAACTGCTCACACTGTACATATGTTACTCTGAATTAAGAAAATTAAACTACTTGTTCTTTATTGTTTACCTGCATGGCATATTCTCTTTCTCTGCCAAGACAGTGTGTGGGTACTGCTTCGGCAAGATGGTAACGGTGGTCCATGCAGTCATGCTGGCCACTAGGGCTGGGCGGTTTCGTTCGTTAATTTCGTAATTCGTTATTGATTCGTATTTAAATTAGCTTACGATCCGATATTGAGCCATGCAGGAGCAACTAAAAATCGAAACAAATTTTTCAATTTATTTCGTAATTGGTTCGTAATTGGTTCAAAATCGTTTCGAAATCGTTTCGAAATTGTTTCGTTATTATTTCCGTATGTCTGGTGCAAGTTTTATAGTTGTTTGTTTTATCAGTGATAAAAAAATAAATTATCACACCAACAGTCAACAACAGAGGGAGAGGGAAGCTTCAGAAGTTCCCCCTGTCCCATTTGGAGGTTTTTTTAGCGTATTGCGCAATCGCGTCCGCCATTAACGAATCAATTCGAAATTTACGAAATTTCGTAAATAACGATTTTTTTAAAAGAAAAATTCGGAATTCTTTAAAAAAACGAAACGCAATGGACCCCCTAAAAACGAAACGAGTTTAGAAACAAATTTTTGCGTTGTTACCCAGGCCTACTGGCCACATGACCTAGGAGACGTCTATGGACAATGCCGGCTCTTTGGCTTAGAAATTGAGATGAGCACCACCCCTCAGAGTTGGACTTGACTAGACTTAATGTCAAGGGGAAACCTTTACCTTTATGTAAACCGCTTTGAGTTTCCCCCAGGGGTGAGAAAGGCAGTATATAAATACTGTAAATAAATAAATAAATAAATAAATAATATTATTTGTTTATATATATATTTATATGTACGCTCGTTTGTATGTACGTATATATTGTTTATATGTATGTATTATTTGTTTGTCTGCATGCAATACTTATTAGTATATGTGTATGTGTAATGTTTGTTTGCATGTATGTATTAGGTAAAACTAAGCAGGAAGCATCCTGTTTGTATTCCACCCAAATAGAAATGTAGACATTGACTTTCCTTTTTTACTAAGTTGCATACCATTCTTTTGGAAGGATGGATATTTAGTGTTTTAACATCAGTTTTCAAATGAGTCCCCCTCGGGGTGAGAAAATGCTGTAAATAAATAAATAAATTTCGAAGCAAATTCAAATTGTTCGAAATTGGACTTATGGCATGCTTAATGAAAAACAGAATCTGAATGAGGAGGACATTTGGGTAAGTGGAGCCTTGGTTATGTATTGGATGAATTTTTCCTCCTGAGGCTCAATGGAGAAACATTTGCTTGCCTTCAGCTTTTGTATGAAGTGAATGAATAAAAACTTTCACCTCTCAACACAGGATTCCCCCAGGCAGTAAGAAGCCACACCTTGAAAACTGCTAAGCTATTAAATGTTAATCAAGGTGGCCAATTGAAACACTCATATCTGCCTCCAACAGACAAGAGTCATTTCTCCCACCCTGGACATTATTCCACAGATATATAATCCATTTTCCTAGTTTCCAACAGACCCCACAACCTCTGAGGATGCTTGCCATAGATGTGGGGGAAACGTCAGGAGAGAATGCTTCTGGAATGTGGCCAGACAGCCCTAAAAACTTACAGCAACAAAGCTTTTTGCATCTCGCATTCTTTGGCTGCTAAAGGCAAGATATGAGTTCAGAAAGTGTTTCCGAACCCGAAACGTTGTTGTCCGCTTTGTGGCTGATTTCCAACTCAGAGCCCCCTTCCCTTACTTGTATAATCCATCAGGCTCCAGACACTTGAAAATGACGGAGTAGAGGCTGGTGTCAGGGGCATCTCCATGGCTCCTCCCGGCAGCCACACAGGCGGTCCCAAGGCCAGAGAGTAAATCATCCACAAGGCTCAAGGATTCTCCTGCGGGCCAGAGAAGAGAAGCAAGTGAACAATGACAAGAAGAAAGACAAAAAGAATCATAGAATCATAGAATCAAAGAGTTGGAAGAGACCTCATGGGCCATCCAGTCCAACCCCCTGCCAAGAAGTAGGAATATTGCATTCAAATCACCCCTGACAGATGGCCATCCAGCCTCTGTTTAAAAGCTTCCAAAGAAGGAGCCTCCACCACACTCTGGGGCAGAGAGTTCCACTGCTGAATGGCTCTCACAGTCAGGAAGTTCTTCCTCATGTTCAGATGGAATCTCCTCTCTTGTAGTTTGAAGCCATTGTTCCGCGTCCTAGTCTCCAAGGAAGCAGAAAACAAGCTTGCTCCCTCCTCCCCCCTGTGGCTTCCTCTCACATATTTATACATGGCTATCATATCTCCTCTCAGCCTTCTCTTCTTCAGGCTAAACATGCCCAGTTCCCTAAGCCGCTCCTCATAGGGCTTGTTCTCCAGACCCTTGATCATTTTAGTCGCCCTCCTCTGGGCACATTCCAGCTTGTCAATATCTCTCTTGAATTGTGGTGCCCAGAATTGGACACAATATTCCAGGTGTGGTCTAACCAAAGCAGAATAGAGCATAGCATGACTTCCCTAGATCTAGACACTATGCTCCCTTGATGCAGGCCAAAATCCCATTGGCTTTTTTTGCCACCACATCACATTGTTGGCTCATGTTTAACTTGTTGTCCACGAGGACTCCAAGATCTTTTTCACACGTACTGCTCTCGAGCCAGGCATTGTCCCCCATTCTGTATCTTTGCATTTCATTCAGAAGATTCCGTTCACATTTTGAGACCACCACCAAGTTGCAGATAGAAATCGACATCAATTTTTTCCTTTTCTCCCAGCTTTTCCTAGATTAAATCCCTACTTTTCTGGACTATATTGTTCTCCCTCTTTCCATGTTAAGCGATTTTCTTTCTATGACCATTTTATTTGGTTATTTGCATTAAATTCTCAATCTATATAAATAAAAATGTAATGTTCGTTTGTGGGATTAACAGAACTCAAAAACCACTGGACGAATTGACACTAAATTTGGACACAAGACACCTAACAACCCAATGTATGTCCTTCACTCAAAAATTTGATTTTGTCTTTTAGGGGAATTGAACCAAACGGGGCATGACCAACAGGAGACATCTGAAGGGTTTGGTGAGCATTGACCTTGAGTTTGGGAGTTGTAGTTCACCTATATGCGGAGAGCATTCTGAACTCCACCAACAATGGAATTGAACCAAACCTGGCACACAGAACTCCCATGACCAACAGAAAATACTGGACGGGTTGGCATTGGTCTTGAGTTTGGGAGTTGTAGTTCACCTACATCCAGCCAGCACTGTGGACTCAAACAATGATGGCTCTGGACCAAACTTGGCACGGATACTCAATATGCCCAAATATGAACACTGGTGGAGTTTGGGGAAAATAGACCTTGACATGTGGGAGTTGTAGTTGCCGGGATTTATAATTCACCTGCAATCAAAGAGCATTCTGAATTCCACCAATGATGGAATTGAACCAAACTTGGCACACAGTTCTCCCATGACCAACTGAAAATACTGGAAGGGTTTGGTGGGCATTGACCTTGAGTTTGGGAGTTGTAGTTCACCTATATCCAGTCAGTACTGTGGACTCAAACAATGATGGATCTGAACCAAACTTGGCACGGATACTCAATATGCCCAAATATGAACACTGGTGGAGTTTGGGGAAAATAGACCTTGACATTTGGGAGTTGTAGTTGCTGGGATTTATAATTCACCTGCAATCAAAGAGCATTCTGAATTCCACCAATGATGGAATTGAACCAAACTTGTCACACAGTTCTCCCATGACCAACTGAAAATACTGGAAGGGTTTGGTGGGCATTGACCTTGAGTTTGGGAGTTGTTGTTCACCTATATCCAGTCAGCACTGTGGACTCAAACAATGATGGATCTGGACCAAACTTGGCACGAATATTCCATATGTTCCAAATATAAACACAGATGGGGGGAATAGACCTTGACATTTGGAAGTTGTAGTTACTGGGATTTATAATTCCCCTACAATCAAAGAGCATTCTGAACCCCACCAATGACAGAATTGGGGCAAACCTCCCACACAAACCCCCATGACCAACAGAAAATACTCAAGGTCGTGCAGTCCAACTCCCTTCACCAGGACAAGATTATGTAATCAAAGCCCTCCCAGCAAAGAGCCAACCAGCCATAAATATAGATAGATATGATTCACACACAAAGAGATATAGTATCATAGATTTGAAAGGGACCCCTAAAGAAGGACAATGATATGTTGCATTTTTCCAGAGTAGGCAAGCCAGACAATCTCCACATCAACACTGACAAAGAAACAGCAAGAAATAGTGTTTACCCACAAGCAGAAAGAAATTACATATATTAGAAACCAACGCTTTCTCATTACTTTATTTTCCAAATCACCAGACTGGGCCACAGCAATGCCTGGCAGGGGACCTCGCTAGTAAAAAGTGTGTGTGTGTGTGTGTGTGTGTGTGTGTGTGTGTGTGTGTGTGTATATATATATATATATATATATATATATATATATATATATTTGTAGTGGCATGTCTTTATCCTTGGCAATTTAAAGAGATGGTTCTTCAGTCTAACTGCTGAGCTAACTGTGTGCCATTACACAAATGCTTGTGAATATCATTTGTTCAAAGAGTTGACTTCTAACAAGGTCATGCTTTTCTTGACTAGTGGTTTTCAAATGGTCTTCTGCACGTGTTCACATTTGCCAAAGGGATGTGACATCATTTTTAGCTTTGCAACAACAACAGCAATAATAATAATAATAATAATAATAATAATATTTATTTATACCCTGCCACCATCTCCCAGTGGGGACTTGGAGCAGCTTACATGGCGCCAAGCCCGGACAACATATTACAACAAGATAAAACCAGAACATAAACAATAAACAACATCATCAAAATTACATAAAGGAAAAAAAAACATAGGCATAAAATAACATTCCAATAAACACAATCACAATAACAATGGGCGGGTCACAGGATAAAATGATTAAAAGACTCAAATGAGATAAAAATAGGAGGTTTTTTTTTTTGTCATGTCAGGAGCGACCTGAGAAACTGCAAGTCGCTTCTGGTGTGAGAGAATTGGCCGTCTGCAAGGACGTTGCCAGGGGACGCCCGGATGAATTGATGTTTTATCATCCTTGTGGGAGGCTTCTTTCATGTCCCCGCATGAGGAGCTGGAGCTGATAGAGGGAGCTCATCCGCCCCTCCCTGGATTCGAACCTGCGACCTGTCGGTCTTCAGTCCTTCCAGCACAGAGGTTTAACCCACTGCGCCACCGGGGAATTGCAGGGAACTTGTAAAAACACACAGAGTTGCGAAGCTAAACTTCCCATTTGGAGGGCGTGTATTCCAGTGGGAAGAGCGTTGAGGGGTGCAATGGTGTCATATTATGCACCTACTCGCCAAAGGTGCAGCGGAAGAGCCAGGTTTTAAGGTTCTTTTTGAACGTTTCTAGAGAAGGGGCTTTCCTGATCTCTCCAGGTAATGAGTTCCAAAGTCGGGGAACCACAGAGGAGAAGGCTCTCTCCCTTGTGCCCACAAGACGAGCTTGTGAGATTGGTAGGGGTGAAAGAAGGGCCTCCCCCAAAGATCTAAGAGCCCGGGTTGGTACGTGGAGAGAGATACGGTCACGAAGGCAGGCGGGTCCCAAACCGTTGCACTTATTTCCATTTCCAATATCCTTGAGGTCTCTTCCAACTCATAATTTTATGACTCTATGTTAACATTCAGTTGGTCACTTTGCCTGCTACTTTTACACTACCCATCCCATTACAGCCTTTATTTTCATTCTAATTCTCCCTTTATTCGCCCATATAAATTTGCACAACATGCCTGCTAGAAAAACGTCATGGAAAAACAACCCATCTAAATCATAGAATCATAGAATCATAGAGTTGGAAGAGACCTCATGGGCCATCCAGTCCAACCCCCTGCCAAGAAGCAGGAATATTGCATTCAAATCACCCCTGACAGATGGCCATCCAGCCTCTGTTTAAAAGCTTCCAAAGAAGGAGTCTCCACCACACTCCGGGGCAGAGAGTTCCACTGCTGAACGGCTCTCACAGTCAGGAAGTTCTTCCTCATATTCAGATGGAATCTCCTCTCTTGTAGTTTGAAGCCATTGTTCCGCGTCCTAGTCTCCAAGGAAGCAGAAAACAAGCTTGCTCCCTCCTCCCTGTGGCTTCCTCTCACATATTTATACATGGCTATCATATCTCCTCTCAGCCTTCTCTTCTTCAGGCTAAACATGCCCAGCTCCTCATAGGGCTTGTTCTCCAGACCCTTGATCATTTTAGTCGCCCTCCTCTGGACACATTCCAGCTTGTCAATATCTCTCTTGAATTGTGGTGCCCAGAATTGGACACAATATTCCAGGTGTGGTCTAACCAAAGCGGAATAGAGCATGGGGAGCATGACTTCCCTAGATCTAGACACTATGCTCCTATTGATGCAGGCCAAAATCCCATTGGCTTTTTTTGCCGCCACATCACATTGTTGGCTCATGTTTAACTTGCTGTCCACGAGGACTCCAAGATCTTTTTCACCCGTACTGCTCTCGAGCCAGGCATTGTCTCCTGTGGGGTGTAACACTGCACATAACTGAATACGTGATGCCACACCACATATGTAGTTTTCTGTCACCACTTTAATACCTGGGACGTACTCTGTTTCTGTCCTTTTACAGGTGCCTTTCTTTGACTCAGTGAGGGGAAAAGAATTTCCTTTCTAAATCCCTTTACCACCTTGTACTGCTGCAGTTTCCCTTTTAAATTGGCTGGGGCTTTCTTGTGAGCTGTTAACCTTTGTGCTTTATATCACAGGCTTGAGACACTCTGGTAAGCAACCAAGTAACAAAGTTTATTTATAGCTTCTGGTTCCAATGCTTTATGGTTACATGTGTGTTTTG